GGTGTCAGAATTGGTAAAGATGACCTCCACCTCATAGGAGTCAACCTGGGACGGTTGATCTTGGTTCTCCTTCCCTCTGGTGAAGTTAGAGGAGGTCAGACACGGCCCCCGTGCCGTTTTTACAAACATCTTTGGTAATGATAAGGTTGCAGATTATTCTGGTGTATGTTATCCTTATTGGTTGCACTCAAGTTGATTCTGACTCATGGTGACCCCGTGTTTGCAGAGTAGAACGGCTCCATAGGGTTTTCAAGGCTGTGACCTTTTGGAAGCAGATCACCAGGCCTGTCTACCGAGGTGCCTCTGGGTGAGGTTGAACTGCCAACCTTTTGGCTCGTAGTTGAGCACCTAACTGTTTGCGCCACCCAGGGACTCCTGCTCTGATACAGGTTGTTGCATGCTGTCGAGTCGATTCTGACTATAGCGACCCTATAGGACAGATAGAACTGTCCCATAGGGTTTCCAAGGCTGTGATCTTTGTGGAAGCAGATCGCCACGTTTTTCAGAAGCAGAGCCACTGGTGGGTTCAAACTGCCAACCTTTTGGTTAGCAGCCAATCACTTAACCACTGTACCACCAGAACTTCTTTCTAACATGTAGGTGTGCCATAATTTATTTAACCAGCCTAGTGTTTCTGGATGTTTAGGTTAAGTTGTAATACTTTTCAGTGGAAACTGTGTTTATTGAGATTTGCTCCTTATTTTCAAAGTGTAAATCTTTAGATTGTATTCCTTTTGCATTTCTTGGTGGGGAGTTACGGGCCCTTTTAGAAAAACGGCAAGATCACTCATTGGTGGCATAGGGAGGGGAGAGGTTAGTCATGGGAGGTGGGTGTCTAAGGATATCCTGAGAGTAAAGGTCCTGACATTTAAAAATTCATTTAAATGTGAAATATAATACCAAAAATACATAAAATGTAAAAGTAATGCTTAACGGATTGTAAAATGGACACCTTTGTGACCCCCATCCAGGTTAAGAAATAGAATGTTGCCAGCCACATGTGCCCCTGACCATCCACAGCCCCCTTCCCCGTCCCTGAGGTCGACATGCTCCTGGCTATCACAGCATCTATTCACCTTTTCTTTATAGTTTAAAGGTCTAGTTAGGAATTCCTAAACAGCAGAGTAAAATTGTGCTTGTTTTCGGGTCTTCTCGCCTAATGCTCTTAGGGACCTGATGTTGCGTCCCACCAGGAGCATTCTTGAAGAGGAAGAGCCACAGAATGTGGGAGGGCAGGTCAAGGAACCCTATACATCTCGTCTTCGTGAAGTTTGGGGCTGTCTTAGTTCTCTAGTGCTGCTGTAACAGAAATACCACAAGTGGGTGGCTTTAACAAACAAATTTATTTTCTCACAGTTAGGTGGCTAGAAGTGTAAATTCAAGCCCTGGTTCTAGGGGAATGCTTGCTTTCTCTGTCGGCTCTGGAGGAAGGTCCCTGCCTTTGAGGTTCTGCTTCTGGGCAGTCTTCACGTGGCTTGGCATCTCTCTTCACCCATCTCTAGCTCTTCTTTGCTTGCTTGTTTAATCTCTTATATCTCAAAAGAGATTAACTCAAGATACACCCTACACTAATCCTGCCTCATTAACATAACAAAGACAACCCATTTCCAAATGAGATTATAACCACAGGCATAGACGTTAGGATTTACAACACATTTTTGTTGGTTGGAGTATACAATTCAATCCATAACAAGGACTTCTGGTCACAATGTGTTTAGATGAACCCAAGCTCTTTTTAGTACCAGGTGCTGGAGCTCTCCACTGCTGCCAGGACTCTGGAGCTGGCCGAGTGTCTGCTTCTTTGATGTTCTGCTCCCTGTTTGCTGTGGCTGGGGTGTCCTGCACGGGGGTCCCTACGTGTGCCCCTCACCCAGCATTCCTGGCTGTGTTCACGTGTGAGAACCCCTGCAGATCACAAAAGATTTCTTTCTGAAGCACACTTTCTTCTTCTTTCCTAATCTGTAAAAGTTATGGCATTTAATTTGGGCTTTATTTATAAAGGACTTGTTTCTCTCTCCCATTTAAGTATCTGGAAAGCTTGAACAAATCAAAAGTTTGCCTTATTTGAGCAGAGCACCTTGTATTTGCTGTAAACCAATGTAGAGAGTGGCATTATGATAGAAATTGAGCCTGATTTTTAAAAAATTTTATCTATCTTGTTGTTGTTGAGAATACACATAGCAGAACATTCACCAGTTCAGCCGTTTGTGCATGTACAGGTCAGCGGCATTGGTTACATTCTTCAAGTTGTGTGACCATTCTCACCCTCCTTTTCTGAGTTGTTGCTCCCTCATTGACATAAACTCACTGCCCCCAAGGTTCCTGTCTAATCTTTTGAATTGCTGTTATCAGTTTGATCCCATATTTAAAAATGAACCAAACCCATTGCCATGGATTCAATTCTGAGTGATAGCGACCCTATAGGACAGAGTAGAACTGCCCCGTAAGGCTTCCAAGGAGTGGCTGGTGGATTTGAACTGCTGACCTTTTGATTAGCAGCCAAACGCTTAACTACTGTGCCACCAGAACTCCTGATCCTGTGGAGATAGTTCTTAAAAGAGCATAATGCTCAAGGCAGACTTTTTTCACTAGTTAAGCTAAACTATTGTTGAGCCTGATTTTTAAAAACATACATTGTTCTATATAGAAAAGACGATGGAAATCATTTCTAGTTAAACCCTGTAGCTCAGTTTGTTTCGCCCTTTTGTGATGCCTACTTACAGTAAGCATACATTTTTCACCACAACCTAGTATACAATACATGTAAAAGTGGAACAAAAAGTCTCATGACTCATAGACACCCGTTTCCAGCCCTTACTATGTGCAGTGACTCCAATATATTTTATTCTGTTCGAATTTCATTAAAGGTAAATGTTGGTTGGGGGCCCATTAAATTGACTTCAGGTAGGTCAGTGGCTGCAGTTGAGAAGGGTCCATGGTTTTCCAGAGGAAGAAATTGGTTCGGGGGAGTAAACTGAGCAGAGGTAAACTCGTGGCGTGGTGTGGCATGGCAGAAAGAGTGGGCTTTGGAGAAGGACAAACTTGGGCTCAAATCCTGGCTCTGTCACTTGCCAGGCATTTGACCAGGGCAAGTGAGTCAGCACTCCTGGATGAGTCAACATCTTAGGATGACTGTAAACTGGGAGCTCCACTCCCAACTGGCCTCGGAGCTGTGAGGTGAAATGAGGGACCCGCTGGCATACAGTAAGTGCTCAATGCCCAGCAGCAGTGATTCGCCATGGTTACTTGTCTCAGGACTTCTAGCCCAGTGCTCTTTGTACAGATTGCAGAACCCACCACGGCAGGAGTGTTGAGCGATGGATGGGTGGGAATTGCTCAGTTGACCCGCCCACCTTGGGGATTAGGTCAGGTGACTGCTGGGGTCCCTGCCCATTAGCTCTGCAGGTTTATTACAGGAGTGGGACTGCCAGAGAGCGTCAGCTGTTGCAGTGCCTGCGGAAGAGCTGGCCCTCCTGTCCTTGTTCATGGGCAGGAGGTTGAAGCTCAAGGGCGTGTGTGTGTGTGTCTGTGTGTGTGTGTCTGTGTGTGTGTGTGTGTGTGTGAGATCAGCCTAGGGAGAGACCAGAGGGCTTACTCTCCTGTGTCTGAGTCTTCACCCTACTCCCATATTTCACACTTAAAATCTGTCTTCTCTCTTTTTAAAGGATGACCACACCAGCTTTTATATTATAGATAGGTTTATTTTCTGATCATAAAAGGAATTAGTGCAAATAAGAAAATTAAATTCTTATAAAATTCTGTCACCAAGAGAAACCAATGTATTAACATTTGACATTGTTTCTTCCAGTCATTTTTCCATACATTGAAAGGAAGTGGCAATAATTCTGTCCATTCAGATGCCCTTTTAATGGAATCCAAAGCTGAGCTGCTTAGGTAGCTCAGGGTCAGTGTGGTGGCAGAGGAAGGGAGAAGGGGCACATTGTTGAGTGGTGGACAGTGATCTCTCACTGTCTCTGAGACTGAAGAGTGCCCCTTGACTTAGTCTTCCTTCTTCCAGGAGTTCAGGTGCGAGGAAGATTTTGACTTTAAAACTCTTCCCTATTTTCTGCCACTTCTCCCTTATTTGGCATGCCCTCCAGAGGTCAGAGGAGCCCCGGTGGTGCAGTGGTTAAGTGAGAAGGCTGCTAACCAAAAGGTCAGCAGTTTGAATCCACTAGGCGCTCCTTGGAAACCCTGTGAGGCAGTTCTGCTCTGTCCTGTAGGGTCGCTGTGAGTCGGAATTGACGTGACAGCAATGGGTTTCGGAGGTCAGAGGAGCTCTGGTGATGCAGTGGTTAAGTGCTGTGCAGCTAACCAAAAGGTCAGCGGATCGAACCCACCAGCTGCTCTACAGAAGAAAAGACCTGGCGATCTGCTCCCATAAAGATTTCAGCCTTGGAAACCCTGTGGGGCAGTTCTACTCTGTCCTATAGAGTCGCTGTGATTTGGAATTGACTTGAGGCAATGGGATTTTCAGAGATCAGAAGAACAGATCTTAATGGGCTTTATGCTGCTGAAGTTAATACCTCCTTAGATTGCTGGTGGAGTCCCTGGGCGGTGCAAACGGTTAACTTGGCTGCTAACTGAAAGTTCAGAGGCTTGAGTCCACCCAGAGGTACCTTAAAAGAAAAGTCTGGTGACACACTTTCAGAAAATCAGCCATTGAAACCCCTACGGAGCACAGTTCTTCTCTGACACACGGGGTCACCATGAGTCAGAGTCAACTCAGTGGCAACTGGTTTACTGGTAGATTGCCGGTGCAGTTGCTGTTTTTCCTTGGAATGTGAATGCTGACTTGCTTGTAACAGTGCTGCTAAGCTTGTGTATGCTGGTCATTGCTTTTCACCTGCGTCAGGCGCCTTCCCCAGTGATCCCAAGCAGGCCGTGAGGACAACGTGGGTGTGATATAGGCAGGTGACCTGGCCTCCGACTTGGACCCGAAGGGCTCTCTGGAATGGTGACCTGATGTAAGGCTGATCTGTTTTCTCTTTGCCCCACAGATTTTGAAGCCAGCTTCATAAGGCTGATGGACAAGATAACTAATGGTTCTCGAATTGAAATAAACCAAACAGGTAAGCTCCTTCTCTGAGCGTTCCTGAAAGCACTTACCTGTACTACTTCAGCATTCCTATTTCTCACTTCTTTTGATGATGTAAATACTGTGTTCAGATGGAAAGACTCAACTTCCTGTCTGTGGCACAGTTGTCCAGAGGTGTATGAAAAATCCCCCGATTTCAGAGGAATACACTCCTTTTAAGGAAGTTAGAAGACTGAAAATTTTCAGATCAAGAAGCAAACACGTCCTCTTTTTTTAACAATAAAAATATACCTAACATTTATATGCAACTTTCAAAGCCCATCTACTTATATTATCTCATTAAATTCTTACAACAAACTGTGAGTTAAATTTTTATTTTATCTTTTAAAACAACTTTACACAAGTACATGCAAAAAAAAAAGTGAAACTCCCTTCAGCCTCTTCCTCTTTAATTCCTTTCTCCCATGGTGGCCACTGTCACAACCTGGGGTGCACGCGTGTCTCTATTACATATCTTTGCTTATATGGGCACATACGTATTTCAAACCAATAAGTAGGAGCATGCTCTTCGTGTTGTTCTCCAGCCGGCTTTTTTTCACTGGCAGAAATGTCTCAGAAGTTTCCCTGTCGGCACATGCAGGCCCACCTCAATGATTTCCACTGCATGGATGCACAATAATTTACTTAACTGCTCCTGTAATTCTAGATGTTTAGATTATTTCCCTCCTTTTTTTTCCATTGAAAACTTTTGTATCTATATTGTATAGGAGACCATGACAAACACCCTTCAGCCAACTCCATGAACTGTGTACCTCTGCATGTATATTCAGCAAAGGCAGTTCTGAGCTTACCCATCTGTTGGCTCTTTTAAGAAAGAAGACAAGTTGGGTTCCTAAGTGGCCCTGTCCCACCTGAGACTCGTTGATCTGTAGCTGCATTCAGCCATACCTTGCAGAGAACAGGTTGAAGGCATGCGAAGTTGGTGTGCTTTGCAAGGCTGTGATTCCCCTGGTCTTTCTTGGTTTGTTTACTTTGACATTGCTGGAGATTTTTTTAGCAATTTTTTATTGGTGATTCCAAGGAGAGAATGTTATTTTCTAGTGACATCTGCAGCTGAGTTTAGGGAGTAAGGCATTTATATGATCCCACTCTCACCCTATTCCTCCCTTCCCCACCCCCCATTCTGATGATCTGGTCAGTTTCTCATTTGGCTAATTTGCAGGCATAAACAGATAGATTGGCACGATTTTACTGATTTCTCATCTGATGGTTATATAGTCGGTTTTTGACTTTTTGACCTAAAGGATTGGTTTTATGATCCTAGTGCCATTGACAAGGAATGACCCTTTGAGAAGGGTTGATTCCCTTGATCATACTCTGATTCAGATTGTCATCTGATTCTGATTCTGTATAATAAAACCTAAATTTACTTTATGAAACTCCCAAGAGCTGCTTCCCTTTCAAGTGACTGCACACACTGCCTTTCTCTTACATCAGATTTGGTTTTTGATAAATTGGGCCAGAAGACACTGCAAAAATATCTTGAGCAGTAAAAGCACCTTGTTCACCCATATCATGGTATTCTACTTTGTTTTTCCTTCAGTGTGTAAATACAGTAAGAAAATACCATACTTTTCTGAAACTTACTGGATGATATGAATATGTAAAAAGTGAATAAAGATACTAGAGAGTTTTCCACTAAAGCTATAAAATAATTTCAGGTATTTCTGTTTGCTAATATTACATTTAAATAGCTTCTATTAATTGTTTTGAGTCTATGCCAGTTACTGAAAGGTACATTTAATCCTCATAACAGTCTGACAAAGTTAGACCCATTGTCCCCATTTTACAGATGAGAAAAATGAGGTGCTGGAGGCTTAGAGAACTGGCCCAAGGACTTACTGAATCCTAGGCCTACACCCTTACTACAAAACCACATTTCCTATTTCTATTATGCAGGATCCCAAAATGCCAGCAGTAGTGGGGAAAAGATGTGATGGACCCATGGCATGTTAAGTAAATGGTAGTGTGTGATAGCTGAAAGTGATCCTAGAAGTCAGCTCTCCTGGCCCCAGCATTTAAATGGTGGGAATGGAGGTGTGAAGTGAGTTAGGAACTCACCTAGAGCCGCACAGGTACTTCCTGGGGAAGACCGACTGCTTCTCCACCCCGGTGACTGGGGCCACCTGTACCTGGAACCCCTGTGGCACCTGCTCACCTGTGGTACCAGCATTCTCTCTCCAGAGGGCCGCTGGTGCTGACTCGGGTTTGGACAGGCCCTCAGCAAAGTGGGCCAAGTTGGTCTTGGGTGTTGGCTCATTCCTGAGTTTTGTATTTCAAGGAGACTTCTTCTTGCTTCCAGCACAAAGATCTACAATCAGACAGAATGGACTCCGCAGATAGTACAGGTGCTTCTCTTTCTGCCCCCTGAGTTTGACAGTTGGTTTGCTATGTGAGGCGGGGTAGACTCTAGCTGGGTTAGAAACAGGAAGCAGATACAATATTTAGGACGACGTGGCCCTCTGTTCAGAAACCTTCCGCGTCCCCTTAGTGCTGAGACCGTAATGTCCTTTGCCTGGCATTGAGTTCTCTCTGCTACCTAAACTGACCTGTTCTCCCAGCCTTACTCCCACCATCCTCCTTCATGCCTTTGTGGGACTGTGGCTCATAACAACCCTATAGGACAGAGTAGAACTGCCCCTTAGGGTTTCCAAGGAGTGGCTGATGGATTCGAACTGCTGGCCGTTCGGTTAGCAGCCAAGCGCTTAACCACTGTACCACCAGGGATCCGATTTAAGGATGGCATTTGTAAACCTCCCCCCACTTAGCACAGTCTGAGAGTGTGGCTTCGGGAGACTAGGGTGCCTGTTAGAGTCCCTCTTCTGGGCCCTGCCGTGCCATTGGCAGTTCAGATGGCGTGGGGAGGGGTTTAATTTATTACTGTTTATTAAGTTACACTCACAGTTCATTATGTTACAGAGGCTTGACAGCAGTGAGTCAGCCTTTGGAGTGGTGTGTGGGCTTGTAGGAATGGCATTTTGAGCTTCCTTGGATGCCCTTGTCAGTCTCGCCCTTTGGGATCCCGGCTTCCATTGCCTTTGTGACATATGGCTTCTCTTGCTGAATGTGGCTCTTTCCTCTGGCTCCAGGCACGACCTTGTACTACCAGCCCGGTCTCCTGTACGGCGGGACTGTGGAGCACGACTGCAGCGTCCTCCGTGGCATCGGCTACTACCTGGAGGCTCTTCTCTGCCTGGCTCCATTTATGAAACACCCGCTGAAGATCGTTCTGCGAGGTGTGACCAATGACCAGGTCGACCCTTCAGTGAGTACTGAACCCTGGTGTGACTTTTGTTTTGCTTCTTGTCATCACCCAACTTTTGAGAAGAAAGTTCTTTATAAAGCACAGTTTTATTTTTCAGCATATGCCTTTTGTATATTTGCCTTGCGATTAAGAGGTTAACCCTCTAGGAGGTGGATGAACCAAACATCTTGTTGTTCGCTGCCGTTGAGTGGGCCCCTGACTCATGGCAACCCTGTGCACAGTGGAACAAAATGCTGCCTGGTCCTGTGCCATCCCCATGATAGGTTGTAGATCGCACCGTCGTGATCCATACAGTTTTTGTTAGCTGATTTTTGGAAGTAGGTTGCCAGGCCTTTCTTCCTGGTGTGTCTTAGTCCAGAAGCTCCACTGAAACCTGTTTAGCATCACAGCAACAGGCAAGCTTCCACTGACAGATGGGTGGTGGCTGCGCATGAGGCGCACTGGCTGGGAATCGAACCCAGGTTTCCCATGTGGATGGAGAGAATCCTATCACTGAACCACTGTTGCCGCTTTGAACCCAAATTAGTTATCATGAAACTCAGCAGCGTTTGTTAGCATCCAACAAGGTGCCTTTCATTGTTACATCTAAAACCCTCCAGACCAGATGCTTGCAGTCCCGTCATGCTTGACATGAAAGATGACTCACGTGTGTGAGTGGAGGGTGGCTTTCGTGAGGCCATGTGGTAGAGGAGGCTGGGGGCAGCAGACCAGGGTTTTAGGCAGGAGATTCTAACCCCTTGATGCTACACAGCATAATCTTGGCTTACCCAGGCTTCAGCCATGAGCTCCAGGGCTGGCTTCATTGGAGAAGCATTTGCAGAGTTAGAACAAGGGCAGGGAAGAAACACGTGAACTTTGAACGTGTGTGGTCATTCTCCTGCCTGTACGGGGCAGGTGGTTTGCGGTCCAGCTCAGCTCTTCCTTGTGCCATCATAGTCTCCCAGTGCTGCTGTAGCAGAAATGCCGCAAGTGGTGGCTTTCAAGAGCAGACTTTTTTTTCTCACAGTTTAGGAGACTGTTGTCATCTTTATTGTTGTTAGAGTTGATTTCGACTCATAGCGACCCTACATACAATGGAATAAAACGTTGCCCAGCCCTGCGCCATCCTCACAGTCATTGCTGTTTGAGTCCATTGTTGCAGCCGCTATGTCATTCTATCTCATTGAGGGTCTTCCTCTTTATTGCTGACTCTTTCCTTTACCAAGTGTGATGCCCTTCTCCAGGGACTGGTCCCTCCTGACGACTTGTCCAAAGTAAATGAGATGAAGTCTTGCCATCGTTGCTTCTAAGGAGCATTCCGGCTGTACTTCTTCCAAGACAGATTTGTTTGTTTTTCTGGCAGTCCATGGTATATTCAATATTCTTCGCCAACACCATGATTCAGCAATATCAATTCTTTTTCAGTCCTCCTTATCCATTGTCCAGCTTTCGCATGCATATCAGGTGATTGAAAATACTATGGCTTGGGTCAGGTGCATCTTAGTCCTCAAATTGACATGTTTGCTTTTTGACACTTCAAAGAGGTCTTTTGCAGCAGATTTGCCCAATGCAATACGTCGTTTCATTTCTTGACTACTGCTTCCTTTGGTGTTGACTGAGGATCCACGTAAAGTGAAGGCTAGAAGAAGACTTGAAGTCTGGTTTCAGGACACCGGGTTTAGGGGAAGGCTCTCTTTCTCAGCTCTGGGGAAGACTCTCTCTCTGTCATCTTTGGGGGAGGATCTCTTCTGGTTTCTGTAGACCTAGTGTTCCTTGATTCCTTGGCAATCCCCATGTGGCATGTACCTTCCCCTCCATTTGTGCTTACTGTACGTCTCTTTTTATATCTCAAAAGTGAGTAGGTTTAAGACACATCCTATACTGATAAGATCTCATTAACATAACAAAGAAAACCCTGTTCCCAAATGAGATTCCATCCACAGGGTTAGGATTCTAGCACATATTTTGGGGAACACAATTCAGTCCATCACATGCCCTTTACAGCTGTCTTGGTGAAAGTCTGGGTGGGTTTTATCGGATGTGTAGGTGTGTGTGTGTGCCTAGAGAAGTCCTGCCCTGGCTGATTTAGATGTCTTGTGGGCAGGAAAGGGTCCCCCCGCTTTGGTTGCAGTGCTGTTCAGAGAAGGTGTCTTAAAGCTGGTGGCTGTGATGTGAAGAGGAGCCTGCTTGTTTCTGCCTCTGCAGACATGGGTCAAGGCCAGGGAGTGGGCACCTTCCGAGGCCGACTGTGAGTGTGTGGTTTTCTTACCAGGGAGGGTCACTTAGGTGACACCGTGAGTCTCAAACGGAGACCGCTGGCATTCACCAAGATACCTCCCATGGTGGAAACACGATTAATATGTTCCTAGCCATTAAAAGACTTAGTCCTCAATTCTTAGAAATCCAGCTACATAAATTTTAGCTGTAAAGGAATGTTGCATAAGCTGTTTAGAAATTTTAACTAATTTCAGATGATTGCTTTTTCTCCCTGCATTTTCTAGAAGATTCTAGGAGATGGACTGTTCCATTAATAGCGTGAAGGGAGGCAACTACACTTTTAGCTTGGAGTTGTGGGGGGTGCGTCAAATAATGAAAAAAGGCCTGAGTGTGCAGGGGACTTCAGCACTGTGTCTCAGTTTGGAACTCTGAGTTGCGAGTGATGTTCTAAATGGCAGTATTGAAGAAAGTTCTGTATGTTAACAATGACAAAGATCAGTTGATGAATTCCCCTTAAATGGTACTTAACTCTTGTATGTTGTTGTTGTTAGGTGCCAGCAAGTGGGTTCCGGCTCATAGCGATCCTGTGCACAACAAAACGAAACACTGCCTGGTCCTGTGCCATCCTCACAGTCATTGCTATGTCTGAGCTCATTGTTGCAGCCATTGTGTCAGTCCATCTCATTGAGGGTCTTCCTCTTTGTTGCTGACCCTCTAGTGTCCTTCTTCAGGGACTGGTCCCTCCTGGTAACATGTCCAAAGTATGTGAGACGAAGTCTCGCCATCCTTGCTTCTAAGGAGCCTTCTGGCCGTACTTCTTCCAAGACAGATTTGTTCATTCTTTTGTCAGTCCATGGTATATTCAGTAGTCTTCACCAACGCCATAATTCAAAGGACGCTTGGATCAGGTGCACCTTAGTCCTTAAAGTGACATCTTTGCTTTTCAACACTTTAAAGAGGTCTTTTGCATCAGATTTGCCCAGTGCAATACATAGTTTGATTCTTGACTGCTGCTTCCATGAGTGTTGATTGTGGATCCAAGTAAAATGAAATCCTTGACAACCTCAGTCTTTTTTCTGTTTATCATGATGTTGCTGTTGGTCCAGTTGTGAAGATTTTTCTTTTCTTTATGTTGAAGTGTAGTCCATACTGGAGGGTGTAGTCTTTGATCTTCATCAGTCAGTAAGTGCTTCAAGTCCTCTTCACTTTCAGCAAGCAAGGTTGTGTTATCTGCGTATCGCAGGTTGTTAACGAGTCTTCCTCCAGTCATGATGCTGCGTTCTTCTTCATATAGGACATATTACTCTTGGATGCAGAATATTAAAAGGATATGTTTTCCTATGCTGCAGAAAGTGACTAAAATTGCATGACTAACATTACCTTGGTTGGTACCTGGCTCCAGCCTAGGATAAAATAACTAATCCTGGTGAAGAGTGTGACATCTCCAGCCTGTGCCTTGTTTGTTTTGAGCACTTTTCTACATGGATTTCCCATTGGTTCAAGCATGTATCTACTGTCTGCATACAAAGATGAATAAGATGAGTGGTTCTACCCTTAAGGACCTGTCAATCTGATGGAGGTGGACAGCTGTGGACACAGCTAGGGAGACTGCAAGACTGAATAACTCTGGACTGTGATAGAGGTGGAGTCCCCGGGTAGTGCAAATGGTTAATGTGCTCAGCTGCTAACCAAAAGGGTGACGATTTGAACCCACTCAGCAGCTATGTGGGAGAAAGACCTGGTTATCTGCTTCGTAAAGATTACAGCCGAAAAAAACCCTATGGGGCAGCCCTACTCTGTCATATGGGGTCGCTATGAGTTGGAATTGACTCAACAGCACCCAACAAGGTGGAGTCCCTGGGTGATGCAAGCAATTAATGTTCTCAGCTGTTAACCAAAAGGTTGGAGGTTCAAGTTCACCCAGAGGCACCTTGGAAAAAAGCCCTGGTGATCTACTTCTGAAGAATCAGCCACTGACAACCCTACGAGCAGAGTTCTTCTCTGATACACATGGAATGTTACGGAGTAGACTTGATGGCCATTGGTTATGATATTGTGTGCTGCTGAGTTGATTCCAACTCATAGCGACCCTATAGGACAGAGTAGAACTGCTCCATAGGGGTTCCAAGGCTGTAATATTTGCAGAGGCAGACTGCCACATCCTTCTCCTGCAGACAGGGCTGGTGGGTTCTAACTGCTGACCTTTCGGCTAGCAACCGAGTGCTTTAACAGCTGTGAAACCAGGCTTCTTGTAGTTATGACAGGTACAAAAAATGTGTGAGAGTCAGGGAGGAGTTTCTAGAGGAAGGGAAGGCACATGAGTCTGTCAGGGTTTTAGGAAGATAATTCTGAAAGTGAGTGAAGAATGAATCAGAGGTGACCAACTAGTTTGGATATTAAGGAGGTGGAAGTGGGAAGGAAGGGAGAGATATGAAGGACAGTGTGGAGGGAGAGATGTCTTAGTAACTTGGCAGTTGGCCATGGAACAGGAAGATGGGACAAGAGAAGACTCCATCATTTCTGTCCTGGTTGACTTGAAGGGTGGTGATTGGAGTTTGACACAAGGCAGAGGAACAGTGTGGAAGGATGATGGGCAATGCGTTTGGTTTTGGTACTGTTCCTGGAGCGTTGTCAGGATGTCCACAGGGGCATGTCCAACCGGCAGTTGGAAATGATTGTCGGGAGCCTCAGAGAAGGAGTGTGAGGTGGACCGTTGCTGAGATGGAGACTGATTTAGGACACAGGACCACATCTGGAACTACACCTGGGCTTCTGCCAGACCCTCTAAGTAAAATTTGACTTTGTCTTTGTGATTGGGGTATAGGTAGGACGACGGAGGGGTTACTCCATCATCTGATCTTTTCTTTTCTCCCCCGGGGGTTTGGGGGCTGCTGAGTTCCAGGGAGCCCTGCTGGCAGTCACCTACATCCTTCATCCCACCTGTTCTCGGAATCAGCTTGGCCTCTCCCCATCTGCCCTCACTTCCAGCCTAGACTGAAGTATTTTCTGTTCTGGCAGTCAGTCACAAATGTGTAGTTTAAGTTTCTAGGTGTATTTAACTTTAATATTTAATTGAAATGAACTATTCTTTAATAGGTATGATACGTTTTCCTAGTAACTGCCCCTACTCTACCTGGATCTGTTCTGAACACGTTCCTAGGCCTCATAGGTCATTTCTCCCTCTGGTTAATTTCTGATCTAAGGATACTTAGTTGGGGCCTAGGCGTCCTGGTGGCGCAATGGTTAAGCGCTTGGCTGCTAACCGACAAGTCAGCAGTTCAAACCCACCAGCCGCTCTACAGAAGAAAGATGTGGCAGTCTGTTTCCGTAAAGATTACAGCCTTGAAAACTCTGTGGGGCAGTTCTGCTCTGTCCTATAGGCTCGCTAAGAGTCAGAATTGACTCGATGGCAACGGGTTTGGTTTTTTTTTTTTTTTTTTTTTTTTTTTTTAGTTGGGGCTTGTTCTCTGCTTTAAAGCTGTATTGGAGTATTATTCTACTGAATCTTAGCATGTTAGAGGTGGTGGCAGCTTGGAGACAGCCAGGCTGAGCCCCTTACCTTAGTGACGAAGAAGTTAACCCAGTTGTCATTTTCTTGTCTGAGGCCACACAGCTGTTAGAGGCAGAGTTGGAACCAGGACCAGAGCCTTTTCCTATACCCTGTGCTTGTGCTGCTGGCCATCACTGCCCCGACCGGTCAGCCCTTGCAGGGCCGAGAGGGGAACGTCACTTGTTCCGTTGGGACAAGTACGGGGGTAATTTTCTCTCGTGTGTTGTAGGTTGTTATGGATTGAAATGTGTCCCTCCAAAATGTGTGTTTTAAAATGTGTGATGTAATCACAGTTGGGAATAGGGTTTTCTTTGTTATGTTAATGAGGCCATGTTTGTGTTGGGTGTCTAAAGCCATTCACTTTTGAGATACAAAAGAGCAGGTTAGGCAGAGAGGAAGACCACGGGGAAGACTGACAGTATCTAAAGACAACGGAGGGAGACCAGTCTCCAAGCCCAGGAACTCCAGGGATGGCTGCTTACAGAAGCTGAGACAAGGTTCTTCCCTCTGAGTGGACAGAGGGAGAGCCTTCCCCTAGAGCTGGTGCCCTGAATTCAGACTTCTAGTCTCCTGAGGAGCCCTGGTGGCGCAGTGGTTAAGAGCTTGGCTGCTAACCAAAAAGGTTGGCAGTTCAAATTCACCAGCTGCTCCTTGGAAACCCTATGGGGCAGTTCTACTCTGTCCTATAGGATTGCTGTGATTTGGAATCGACTTGACAGCAACGGCTTTGGTTTTTTGGTTTTAAGTTCTAGTTAATGAGGCCTTGGTGGTTCAGTGGTAGACTTCTTACCTTCCATGTGGAAGACCTGGGCTCAATTCCCGACCAGCACACCTCATGTGCAGCCGTCACCCATCTGTTGGTGGAGACTTGCATGTCACTGTTATACAGAATAGGTTTCAGCAGAGCTTCCAGACCAAGATAGACTAGAAAGAAAGGCATGGTGAGTACTGCTGAAAATCAGCCAACGAAAACCGTGTGGATCGCAACAATCTGATCTGCAACCCATCATGGCGATGGTGCAGGACTAGGCAGTGTTTTGTTCCATTGTGCATGGGTCACTGTGAGTCAGGGGCTGACTCATCAGCAGCTAAGAACAACAGCAAGGTCTAATTAAACTTTTGTTTTCTCCTGAAATAATTTCATAGGTTGATGTTCTTAAGGCGACAGCCCTCCCTCTACTGAAACAGTTTGGGATTGATGGTGAATCCTTTGAGCTAAAGGTAAGAATGCATGAACTTTGCCTATATCTATCTGTGTAAAATGTTTCCTTTTCTTAGGAATTTGGTTTGTCTAAGTCTGTGTCACGTTTGAAGTCCCCATTCTTCAGAAGACCCACAGGGCTCATGATCCAAGACTGCAGGCTTGAACTGAAAGGAAGCCATAATGGCAACAGCACCCAAATTACGTTGTGCTTATTTTGTGGTGGACACTGGTGTGAGCGTCTTACCTGTATCAACTCGTTTACCCCTCCCAGAGAACTGCCCATGGTCACTGAGCTGATAGGCAGTGGCGCCAGGATTATGGCTGTGCCACCTCTGTGATCTAGGTGACCTAGATGGGGTTTATGTCCGGGGGCTCTTAACCTCCATGCTCAGAGGATTCTCGCATTTCCAGACCTAGTACAAGTAATTTAGCATCTGTCTGTTTGCTGTTGAAAGGAACCACATCAGTCCACTGTGGTGACCCTGGATATCTGAAGCCTTTTAGTGTGTGTTTCCTTAATTGATGTTTTTAAACAGGGCAAATGACTTCATTTTTATTTAGTGAGTAGAGTTTTGATAGCTCAGAGGGAAAAAGAGCTCCTGAATGTTGAGTGGACTCAGCTGATGAGCTAGCTAAGGAGGAAGCGGGTCCCAGTGATGGAGGGACCTGGTCAGGGTTACTGAGAGAAATGGCGGGGCCAGGACTTTGACCTGGACGCGTGGGCTCTGTGTCCGCTGCCCTTTCTGATTCACCACCGGCTGTCCTTGCCCAGCACGCAGCCTCTCGACACGAAGCCGTGGTTGGTCTTGGCGGGGCTGAGGTGGTGCACACAGAGAGTTGTCTGCCTGATGATGTGCCCCTGGTCTCCTCTTGCTGGGCTGGGAGTCAGGGTGGGTGATGATGTGCCCCTGGTCTCCTCTTGCTGGGCTGGGAGTCAGGGTGGGTGCTACTCTGCTGGGTCCTCACTCCCTTCTTCTTGCCTGGCTGCAGATTGTGCGGAGGGGGATGCCCCCTGGAGGAGGCGGCGAAGTGTTTTTCTCATGTCCTGTCAGGAAGGCACTGAAGCCCATTCAGCTCACAGACCCAGGAAAAATCAAACGCATCCGCGGAGTGGCGTATCCTTTGCATTTGGTTTAGAGTGCTTGTTGTTTTTTGCCTCTCCAGGGTATGAATGACTAATAAAACTTTACTTCTTCCCAGGCTGTTACGTTGTAGGTATGGTGCTTTATTTTCTGGCTCACTGGCACTAGACTGATCGATCGGTTCTTTTTTTTTTTTTTTTTTTTTTCCCCCACTTTACACTTAAGCAAATAGCTCCTGGGTGTGTGATACTTTCCTTAGGCGTTGGTTTGGGAGCCACAAAAGCAGTGCAGTCCCCCGCCTCAGAAGAGCCCTTCATCCATGAAGGAGACATCCACAAACACATAGTTGTGATGGAACAGGTGAAATGATAGGGAAGTACGTAGACTGGGCGGCGAGTGTGGCCAGTCTGTCGGGAGGGCTTCGGAGGGCTGGGATATCAGTAATAAACAACCTCTACCTTAGTGCTTACTGTGTGTGCGCCTCACGATCACTTCATGTTTGTGTGGGGAGCCTTCCTCCGCGCTCCCCAGGTTGGTAGATACCCCTCGGGGCCAAACATTTCAGCCACTGCTCTGCAGAGCTGCCCCCTTGGCAAACACCTCCCAGGAATGTGGGTTTGAGTTGAGATTGTCGTCTTTGGCAGCTGGGGAGCCTGGCAGAAAAGAGCCACCTTTGGAAAAAGCTTTAGTTGGTTTTGCAGTTTTTTTCCTGCAAGCAGGTTGGCTTGTGGGGCTGAGCTTGGAGATGTATATCCCCGAAGGACGCCTGAGTTGGGAGACAGTAGCCCCACTCTGTACGCTTGTGGCTTTAACTGAGTTACCGCCAAAGCTCATCTTTTCCCTCTTGCAGTCCAGGTGACCAGCCAGGGCCCGGGCGGGAGCGGGGGTTGGTTCCTGCCAGCAGCTGGGGCTGGATGGGGCTGTTACCTCGTATTTAATGTCACCCACTCCTGTCTCCCTGCCTGATGTGGAGAAAGGAGCAGTGTTTTCGTTTTGTGGCACTGACCCAGTAGCCATAAATCCGCAAACCCAGAATGCTGGCTTTCATGATTCTGTACAAAGTAGTCGAGGTAGAGGCAGGAGAGGGAGTGAGTTGGAATTTGGGGGACGATCTGGTTTCCTTTCCCTGACTGCAGGGAGGGTATTTCGCGGAGTGTCTGTCAGTCTCTCTGTCATATGCGTGCACACACACTCATCTGTACCTGAAGGGCAAGGGTCCCACGTGGACTTTAGCTATGAAATTGCCTCTCTTGGTTAGGTGCTGTTAATATGGTGCTCCTAAATAGACTTCACAGTGGTTAAGAGCTCGGCTGCTAACCAAAAGGTCGGCCCTTCGAATCCACCAGCGGCTCCTTGGAAACCCTGTGGAGCAGTTCTACTCTGTCCTGTAAGGTCGCTGTGAGTTGGAATTGACTCCATGACAGTGTTTTTTTTTTTATTACATAGACTTCAGTAGGTTCACAAACCCTGAAATCATCTGCAAAATTACGTGTGCACATGTGTTTCTGGGGAGAGGGCCCATAGCTTTCATCAGATACTCAGCGAGGTCTCTGACTTCTGGAAGGGTAAGAACCTCTGCTTTAGGATCGAGGCCTGGACGAGTGATAAGAAAAGCAGAGCTGACCTTCCTTGGGCTCCTGCCACATGCCAGGCGCCATGCTCAGCGCTTTATCTGCATTGTTCCATGACCTTCCCAACCCTGGAAGGGGGGTGTCAGGCTTACCCCTGTTTCACTGACAGGAAGTGGAAACTCAGAGAAGTCGGTGCCTTTGACCCAGAGTGATGCAGTTGGCTGGAGCCAGGGCTTGAACACAGATAGTGTGGTTCTGGAACTCGGCTCTGAGCCATTCCACTGTAGGGCCTCCACGCCAAGCCCAGTGGCTCCATCTGGGATGTTGCTGGCTTTGAAGCACCTTTACCTTTTTCATCTCACTGCATTCCATCACAGGCTTCCACTTGTCCCACATTGGTGCTGCCACCCACCTGGCCTCCACTTCTGTGGGGGAGGGGGGAGGAGAAGGGAGGTGTCTTTTGGAAGAGGGAATTGTGTAATCTTGAGCAGGCGACTCAGTTCTGTGTACCAGTTGCCCTCACAGTAAACCCTGGGACTAGAATCACTGGGCCTCATTGCAGGGTTGCTGGGAGCATGACCCATGATGATGGTGGACGTGAGAAACCTTGGCGCTGGGAATGCCGTGGAATTCTGTGTTAGGAGAGCAGTGTCTGCTGTGCTTTTCCGGGAGAGTGGACAGCCTCAGGCCTTGGAGGACAGCGCCTCCCAGTCCAGAGGGCATGTCGAGACCCACGGCTGTTTGTCGGAGCTGTCTGGGACGTTCTAGACAGAAGAGGTGGTGTAACTGGGCTCTGTGTGCCTGTGTTGAAAAATCCCTCGTTGCTCTTTCCTCATTCCAGGTTTGTCCTTTGGAGCCAGTCAAATATTTATCGAGCATTTCTAAATACAGAAGTAGTGTGTTAGGGAGCTGTGAGGGCTACGGCAGCACGGGCCCTGTCCTGTGGGTTACGCGGTCTCATGGACGAGCAAGAGCGGAATGCGTGATGTGAAGGCAGGTGTGGTGAGTTGAAAGAAGACCAGCCAGGTGCTGGCTGGGGGTTTGAGGAGAGATGGAGAAGTGGGAACTCGGGCTGGGAGAACGAGGGGAGGGGTGCAGGGCAGGAGGTTGATGGCACCAGGTTGTGAAGGAGCAACTGAGTAGGGATTTTCAAGGCTGTGACCATTCAGACACAGATCGTCAGGCCTGTCTCCCAAGGCTTCTCTGGGCGGGTTTGAGCCGCCAACCTTTAAACTAGTAGTTGAGCACTTGTGGATGATACAGGCTCCTTACACCTACACACGCCCGTGCATACATACACACGTGCACACACAGTAGGTATAAGGAGCCAATGGTATCCACAAATGGGATAATTAAATCTCGAAGGATTGGCAATAGGCTCTGTACATTAGAAAAACCTTTTTGGATCTTTATAAACAGCATTCACCATACTCCTTCACTAAATATTTTCTGCTTCCCCTGAGAACAGACTAGGAGGCTGATGGATTTGGCCGCGTCAGCCCCGATAGGGGGTTGGTTCTGGCCTTCGGTTCTTGAGAGAAATACTGCTAGGTTACAGCAAAGGGGACAGACGGACCTAACGTGTTTTCAGAGGTGCTCCTTCACAGGGAGCTTAGCTCAGGAGGTGCAGAGGCAGGTCCCCTCACTCAGTCCAACATTGAGTGGAACCGTCTCTCGGGGAGGGGGTGCACAGGAAGTCTACTGGGGTTGGGGAGCGTTTACTTCATAGTTTCCAATTCTCTCTTGTTTGGGTTTTTCACCATGAACATCATCTAAACCTTTTATAATAATAATGTAAAAAAACCTAAGTTATGGTACTGTAAAGTTAAGTCATTAAATGTAATTGGAAAACAGAATGACGTTAGAAGTCCCCGGTTGTTACTGTTCTTAGTTGCCGTTGATAGGCTCCGAATCATGGCGCCCTTAATGTGTAACAGAATTGAAAGGCTGCCTGGCCTGCGCCCGCCATCTTCATGATGGTGGTGTGTTGGAGTCCATTGTTGCCGCTTTGGTGTCGATCCATCTCACGGGGGTTCTGCTTGTTTTTGTTGGCCCTCTGCTAGCGACATTTGTTACTACAGCTCCACAAACATCTCCCGGCTTTACGACTGACGCTCCTTGCTCTGGAGTCCAAGCAAAGTGGTTTCCTTAACTCCGGGTTGCAGGTACTCCGTACGAGTGTCCCCTCAGATGGCCAACCGGATCGTGGATTCCGCAAGGAGCATCCTCAACAAGTTCATCCCTGACATCTATATTTACACAGACCACATGAAAGGCCTTAACTCTGGGAAGTAAGTGTCTGTGCATTTTGGGAGCTTAATTCTGAAGCTACCCTAATCTTCTTAACATGCCTGTTCGAACTGAAGTTAAAACTGCTAGCTCTGAGGTTGGCAGCCAGAGGAAGTGCGATTTCAGAATTAATTACCTTCTGTCACCAGCAGGCATTCCTTGGGCGCCTGACACATGGAAAGCGTCCTGGTGGCTAGTGCTAGGAGGCTGAGGGAACCCTGCCCTCAAGGAATTAACCCTATTGATTAATAAGCAGTGCTTCGAGCTTTAAATCTTGCCTGCACTCTGTTGCCACAAAATATTAGCGTGAACATCTCTTTCCACTCTGAGTAAACAACAGTGTAGGGAAAAGAAATCCCTGGTTGTATAAGTGCCGGTCGGCTTCTCTGTCTATCGGTGGGAACAACACCCCTAGATTCGGAAAACTTGCAGATTTGGATTCGGTTTAGTTAAAGCCTTTGCAAAAGACCTCACTTTAGAAAATAAAAACAAAATTAATGATAACCTGTGCAAGGAAACTAGGCTTTCGTTGTGTATTTAGAAGCCAGGAAGGAAGGAAGCAATTAAAACCAATTTTTTTTTATTAGGAAAATTTCAAACATACAGAAGAGTTCAAAGAATAGTACAACGGACACCTGAGTATTCCTGCCACCTGTAGTTACCAGTAGATGGTTGGCCAAATTTGCTTTTCTTTGTGTGTGTGTGTGTTTAATTGTTTTGTTTTTGCTGAGCCATTTCAGTGTGAATGGAGACATCATTACACTTTAGCTCTAAAGTTTTCAGCTCCTAGAAGTAAGACTGTCAGAGTCAGCTCAGTCTGGGGTTGACCGCCGTGGGTTATGAAGTCAAATTTTCCTGAGTGGTAGCACAGTGAGTCCTTCTCCCAGCTGGTCCACCTGAGGTTTCTTTAACTTCAGCAGATGAGAAGGAAGGAGACAGTAGGAGGGGGTGGGGTGCCGCAGGCTCTGACCTTCAGGAGACCCAGGCGAGACAGGAAGTTGATTTCAAAACTGTGGCCATGGCTCATAGTCCAAAGCTGCAAAGGTGGTGGTGTCAGAGGTTGGGGAGTTGGGAAGGCCAGCAGTGAGTGACCCCAGCCCCGGGGTGTAGTGCCCCAACAACAGCCACACTGTCCTCAGTTATGCAGTAGGAGTGATGATGCCTGTATCCCGGGGTTACTGTACAGATGGGAAGATCACGTATGATCACGTATGTAGTGTGTCTTGGGTACAGTGTCTAGCACAGAGCAGGTGCTGCTGAAATGGTAGCTGCTAACGCTGCTGTTCTTTCCTTTCCCCTCTTGGCAGATGGGTGGGAATTAAGTGACAGCTACTCTCTGTAGGAAGGGGATTGCAGAGGGAGGCGGGAGGTAGGGAGGAGCAGAAGCTGTCTGATGGCCTAGTCTTGACAGCCCCCAGACAGCCCCACTGGACAAAGGGTGGCCAGGAATGAGCAGAGCAGGCCCGAGGACCACGCTGCCCCAGCTGGAGCCTGGCCTTTTATAGGCCAGTGACTCAGATGACCCTACCAGTTGCTGTTGAGTTGACTCAGACTCGTGGCAACCCCATGTGTGTCAGAGTAGAACTGCTCTATAGGGTTCTCCGTGGGTGATTTTTCGAAAGTAGATTTGCAGACCTTTTATTCAAGGTGCCTCTGGGTGGACTCGAACCACCAACCTTCTGGTGTGCAGCAAAGCACGCTAACCATTTGCACCACGCAGTAGCCCTTGTTAATGCTATTATATGCTGCTGATTCTTAGAAACTCTCACAGTAGGGTCTTTTACAGTGTTGGCGGGGTGGCGGGGAGACAAGAGGGCAAGGGAGGGCTAATAGGAAAAGCAGCGTGAGCTCACATCTCTCTTGGTTCCACCATGTGTGCTCTAAAATAAATAAATAAATCCAAATCCATTGCCATTGAGTCAATTCTGACTCATGACGATCCCATGTGTTACAGAGTAGAGCTGAGCTCTATAGGGTTTTCTTGTCTGTAATTTTTAGGGAAGCAGATCGCCCCTTTCTTCCAGTGCTGGTGGGTGGGTTCGAACTGACAGTCTTTCAGTTAGTAGATGGGCACAAAAAAACCAAACCCACTGCCGTCGGGTCTATTCTAACCCATAGCGACCCTATAGGACAGAGTACAACTGCCCCATAGGGTTTCCAAGGCTGTAATCTCTATGGAAGCAGACTGCCACATCTTTCTCCTGCAGAGTGGCTGGTGGGTTCAGACTGCTGACCTTTTGCTTAGCAGCCGAGCGCTTAACCGTCATGTGTATTTCTACTTTAATAAGGCTTGATGGAACCCGAAAGAAGCCTCCAGACAGAATGCCATCAAAAGATGTTTGTCTTCTTCCCCTTGGCTGGCGAGCGTGGACCCCACATCATTAACCCTGCTCAGTGTCTGTGCCTTCGAATCCCCAGGTCTCCGGGCTTTGGGCTGTCACTTGTTGCTGAGACCACCAATGGCACCTTCCTCAGTGCTGAGCTGGCCTCCAACCCTCAGGGCCAGGGCGTGGCAGTGCTTCCTGAGGACCTCGGCCGCAACTGTGCCAAGCTGCTGCTGGAGGAGATCTACAGGGTACGTGCCCACCTCTGACATTCATCACCTTGTTCCTGTGCCCCAGCACTTTCCTTCCTCTTCCTGGGTGTAGCCCAGGGAGTCAGCCTGTTCCTGTAAATAAACAGTTGATCATTAACTGGTTTCATGGATTGACTGAACTGGTCAGTGAGCAGAGACTGAGCCCCACAGGGTGGGGACACAGGGCAGGTAGGTTTGAAAGGTGGGGAGAGGGAAGAGCTGGAGCAGCATTGCAAGGGAGAGAGAAGGTACAAGAGCAGAGCAGGTGACAGGTGACAATGGCAGGGCACACCTTGCCTTGACTAAAGAGGGGACCACCTCTCAGCACCCCCCTCTTTATTGCTGTGTGGGAAGGGGAGCTCATTGTTGTCAGATTTTTCAAGAGAAGCTGGAAATCTGGGTTTGTATGTGACCCAGGAACCAGGTCAAGAGGACTTGGTAACTGATGAGATGTAAACGAACAAGAGGGTTCTATCAGATGCTCCAAGCTGGTAAAAATGAACAGTGCCTCCCAGAAAGATAGGCTTTTATTACCCCTTCAAACCAGTTCACATCACAGACTGTAGAGAATCAATCCAAACAACATAAGGTATTTTCATCCCGTTAACAATTAAAGATCACAGTCACACAAAGGAAGTCTCAAGGATTAAAAATAGAACAAAAACTTGGGCTCGGCATGATGAAATGGTTTAAAGCAGAACTTGACTAAAGGAAAAAATAACAACCTAATCCGGAAGGCATGTTTTCCTCTAGTGGGCTAGCGGGCCATGCTGATCCCTGCAGCTCATCATCTGCTCATTGTTGGGGCATAAAACCACACTCCAGCTGTGCCCATGGCTCCCCCAGGTCTGTTCTGCAATGTGGCGCCTCCAGATCGCTCCATGTCTACTAGAAAGAGATGGAGCATCCCCCAGTCAGAGAGGGCTGGCAGCTACCACTGGGCCAGAGGGAGAACCCCCACAAGGCAACAGTCTTGCTGTTGTTGGGTGCTGCTGAGTCTATTTTCAACTCACAGGGCCCAATGTGATAGAGCAGAACGGCCCCATACAGTTTCTTAGGCTGTAATTTTCACAGGAACAGATCGCCAGGTCTTTCAACCATGGAGCCACTGGGTGAGTTTGAACTGTCAACCTTTTGATTAGCAGCAGAGTGCTCAACCACTGTGCCACCAGGTCTCCTTCACAGGGTTTTAAGGATGTTCCCATCACACAGATGTTTCTTTCCTCCCAAACACGTAGATAACAAGCACTGCCAATTATGTAACTGGCAACATAACCTCCTAATCCCCAAAAGCTGACCCCCAACTTTTAGTTACTAACAGTCTTTCAAAAATCACTCAATTTAGCATTAGAAATAGAGCTGCTTTAGCATCAGAAACACCTGAGGGCAGGCCTTGAGCGTGGAGGGCTGTAAAGGGGGCTTCCCCCTGGAAGGGCATGTCTGTCAACGGACAACTTCTTCCCTCCACGATTCTCAAGCTGATGGAGACGAGAAGGGACGGGGCACTCTCCTAACGAATAAATACAGGCCCTTCATCTTCCACTTTAAATTACAGCGACATTAAATCAAGGCTTTGAGGACCTGGAAATTTTAATTAACTCAGAAGCAGTTCATCTTTACTGCTCTACCCTGCAACCAGTGAGACATTTTCAAAAATACTGACTTGGATTTAGAGAGTGGATGACAGCTACAGGCTGTTTTCCTTTGTGAGGCTTTGTTCACCCCCAGACATTGCCTTCCCACCATCATAAATACAACGAACCAATGGCAAAGGAAGCACGAAAAGAAAATCAAAAGGACCCCGGTAGCTCAACCCTCAGTGATAACTATACATTTCCTGGAACTGATGATACTTTTTTGCTTACACTCAGTGAGCTGATGGCCCCCAGGCTGCAGCTTTAATACAAAGGGAAGGCTTCATTTTTCAATGCATACACTTCAGTAAATGGGTGTCTGTTTGTTCCCATAGTTTCCAAATTACAGTTGCTTTAATGAATTGTACTCCCTCAAGTAGTTTAAGTAGTTTAGGTAAGATTACTGGTTTTTTTTATTATTTAAATTTTATTGTGAAAATATACATAACAATACATATACCATTTCAGCAATTTCTGCATGTACAATCCAGCAACATAGATTACACTCTTCAAGTTGTACAACCATTCTTGCTGTCCTCTTCCAAATCATTCTGCCACACTAACATTATCTCAGTGCCCCCTAAGCAGAAACTTCCTCCTCTTCCCCACCACCCCAGGTAACCACTGATAATCTTTGGTGTCTATGTAATATTTCCTTATTTTGTATAAATGAGATCATACAATATTTGTCCCCTGGTGACTGACTGACTTTGCTCAGTGTGATGTTTTCAGGGTTCATCCATGTTGTGGCATGTATCAGGACTTACAGCTGTTTATGGCTGAGTCGTATTATAAGATTTACAAACCTGGTGTTCTGTTTCGTCACTGCTCGAACTTTCTCGTCTGGTATTTTTTGGGTTCTGATATTCTGAGCATACCTTTCCTTTCCTTTTCTCCTCTGTTTTGTTGGTTTTCCCTTTTCTGGTTTGCACAGCGATTACTCATTGACATGTTTGTGTTTACAGGGTGGCTGTGTGGACTCAACCAACCAGAGCCTGGCCCTGCTGCTCATGACCCTTGGGCAGCAGGACGTTTCCAAAGTCCTACTGGGACCACTCTCCCCCTACACGTAAGTGCTTTTCTTTCAGCCTTCTTATTCTGTCCAGTTTAACTTTCTAATTGCATGAAATGACCAGGGCGCTGCCCTGTGAGCACCTGCTTGTTCCCATCCGTAAATGAGCCAGCGCTTGAGTCTAACCTCGTGGTGGTTCTTACTCGCGCTGCCGTGTGAGCACCTGCTTGTTCTCATCCGTAAATGAGCCAGCGCTTGAGTCTAACCTCGTGGTGGTTCTTACTCGTGCTGCCGTGTGAGCACCTGCTTGTTCCCATCCGTAAATGAGCCAGCGCTTGAGTCTAACCTGGTGGTGGTTCTTACTCGCGCTGCCGTGTGAGCACCTGCTTGTTCCCATCCGTAAATGAGCCAGCGCTTGAGTGTAACCTCGTGGTGGTTCTTACTCGTGAGGACTTGCCTGCCTGCCTCTCCTGTAGTTTTCATCCTTCGACCGGCCACTCCCATGTCATTTAAGCTGCGTGGTATATAGTGGGTGTTTCTTCTTTTGTCTGTGCTTTGGATTTTGTTTCCACGTTGGAGGTGAACTCCTGGCTCTTTTCTAATTTGGATTTTGTTGTTAGTTTTTTAGTCCCTCTCCTTCCCAGCAATCTCAGTTACTGTGGCCCAGAGGGCTGTCTTTTTGTCCAAGCTGATCATGCTGGAGTTGGCTAGAACAGATTAAGGAAGAGGCAGAGTTCATAGTAATGCTCCTGGCCCAGTAGGGAAATCGCAGAGGTGGGTTTGGGACCATTGGGTGTTAGCAGAAGCTGCCTGCTGAGGTATAAAAGGGCAAGCGCTCTTCAAAAAAGAGCAGCTCGTCAGAAGACTTGAATTACAAACAGCGCAGTGAAAGAAGCTTTTCCCAGAGATTGTAAGAGAGGGTGCCTAAAAACGGCTGATCTGAGTGCTGGTATGCATGTGCGTATGTGTGTGTGCATGCCCTCATATACGTATGCACTCTAGCGTGTACACGTATGGGCTCAGACACCTAATGATCATTATATGGCCATCCGCAGGAGGGCGGTCGAGGTGGGCCTTGTGTGGGAGGAATTGTTTAGAGATGAGACTGAACTGCCCTTTTTCGGTTATCATGGTACCGATGCTGTATGTCTGAAAGGTACAGTACTGTGATAACTGAAGAATGGCGGTGCCATCACGTTGAGAAAGGGGCCAGGGCTGCATGGGGTCCCCATCGGACTGTGGCTTTGCAGATGTGGAAACCAGGAGCTTGGAAAAGATATTTTGGGTGGTTGGTGGTGGGAGGTGTTTATGGAACAGGGACATAGAAGAGAGAATGCGTTCTGTTCGCAGTGGGGAGACTGAGAAGCCCGAAGCTGGTGAGGGCCATACTGTCTTCTGAGACCTTGTGAAAACTGCACAGGACAGGAAACCTGAAATTGAGTAACCCTGGGTAGCGTGCTAACATCGGTAGTCAGAATTACTACAGTAGCTTTCGTAGGTAAGGCATTTGAGAGGAAGGCAGGGCTGGGAGTGCCGTGTCCTGAGTGTGGAGATCCACTCCCCATGGGGACCTGGCTGGAAGCGGCTGTGTGGGCTGACAAGGGCCCCTTTAGCTCACCTCCTGGCTGCCGCTTTCTCAGCCCCTGCTCAGGGCAGCGGAAGGCCTGGCCACGCACACACTGCAAGGTTTGTCTGCAAACGTGTGTGGTCGTGGGCATGGGCTTTGGCAGAACGTCATGTGAAAAATGGAATGTATGTTTTTATTTTTCCTTGAGGTTTTGGGTTTTTTTTTTTTTTCACTTTTGGAAAAATTTTTTCAGTCTGGCGCCAGGGCTTTGTACGCGCTCTTCAAGCCAGCAGCCTCCTCAGAGGTTGGTGAGGATGTGACTGGACATCTTTTAAAAGTCCCCATGTCCTGCATATACTCCCTCACCAAACATTAATTGCAGTGTCTTTACTTTCAGAAACTTTGCCTAAAATTAACACCTCTCCTGGGAAAACAAAGAAGCCTGCTCTGAACGGAGCTCTAAAGGAGCAGGACAAATTACAGAATAAGGTGTTTTCAGATGGGCTGTGGGTGTGGGGGGAGGCATTCTTCTCCCTCGGGTTCCCTGCCTCCCAGGGCTTTATGCAAGGGGGGGCTTGCCCTATGTGGGGGTGGATAGCCAGCACAAGGAGGGTGGTGGTGGTTAGCTTCTATCGAGTTGGCCGCTGATTCATGGCAACCCCATGCACAATGGAATAAAATGCTGCCTGGTCCTGCGCCATCCCCATGATTGGCTGCAGATCCAACCATTGTGATCCATAGGGTTTTCATTGGCTTGTTTTTGGAAGTGGATCACCAGACCTTTCTTCCTAGTCTGTCTTACTCTGGAAGCTCTGCTGAAACCTGTTCAGCATCACAGCAACATGGAAGCCTACACTGACAGACGGTGGTGGTTGTTCATGAAGTGCATTGACTGGGAATTGAAGAACCTGGGACTCCTGCATGGAAGGCGAGAATTCTATTACTGAACCACCCATGTTCCCACGAGGAGGGGCAGTGGGGTTTATTTTCAAGAAAGCTGTATCTGTTTGGGGCCCTTTTTCCTATTTAACCACTGCAGAGGGCTCCAGCAGCCCTACGTGATGAAGAGCGAAAGTGGGAAGGAACATATGTCCTTCAGGGACCCAGTCGGCAAAATCAACCTTGTATTCGTGTGGACAGTGGGGGTGGGGCAGGGGCAGAATCTGTAGTCACGGTGGGGGAACAGTTTGTCCTGGTTGGATTCAGGAGCTTTGGAGACTACATTTATTTATTTCTGTGTGCAGCTAAAGTCATAGAAGTCTGTTCTTAAAGCCTAAGGTTTTTTTTTTTGTTTGTTTTTTGTTTTTAAATTGTGCTTTAGGTGAAAGTTTACAGTGCAAATTAGTTTCTCATTCAAAAATTCATACACAAATTATTTTGTGACATTGGATGCAGTCCCCTCAATGTGACAGCATTCTCCCTTTTCCCACCCCAGGTTCCCTGTGTCCCCTCATCCAGTTTTCCTGTCCCTTCCTGCCTTCTCGTTTTGCTTTTGGGCAGGAGTTATCCATTTGGTCTCATTTATTTGGTTGAACCAAGAAGTACGTTCCTCACGTATGTTATTGTTTGTTTTGTACGCCTGTCTAATCTTTGGCTGAAGGGTAGGCTTCGAGAGTGGCTTCAGTTCTGAGTTAGCAGGGTGTCTGGGGGCCATCATTTTGGGGGTTCCTCCAATCTCTGTCAGACCAGTCAGTCTGGTCTTTTTTTGTAAATTTGAATTTTGTTCTGCATTTTTCTCCGGCTCTCTCCAGGACTGTCTGTTGTGTTCCCTGTCAGAGCAGTCGGTGGTGGTAGCTGGGCACCATCTAGTTCTTCTGGGCTGAGACTGGTGGAGGCTGTGGTTCATGTGATCTGTTAGTCCTTTGGACTAATATTATCCTTGTGTCTTTGGTTTTCTTCATTCTCTTTTGCTCCGGATGGGATTGGACCAATAGATGTGTCTTAAGGTGGCTGCTCACAAGCTCTTAGGACCCCAGATGCTACTCACCAAAGTAAGATGTAGAACATTTCTTTATGAACTGTGTTATGCCAGTTGACCTAGATGTCCCCCGAGACCATGGTCCCCAGTCCCCAGACCCAGCAGCTCAGTTCCTCAAGGTGTTTGGATGTGTCTAGGAAGCCTCTCTGGCTTTGCCTTGATCAAGTTGTGCTGGCTTTCCCTATATTGTGCATTGTCTTTCCCTTCACGAAAATTGACACTTATCTTCTATCTAGTTAGTGATTTCCCCTCCCCATCTCTCCCCTCCCTCATAACCATCAAAGATTGTCTCTTTCTGTGTGTAAAACTTTTCTTGAGTTTTTATGATAGTGGTCTCATGTGATATTTGTCCTTTTGTGATTGACTTGTTTCACTCAGCATAATCCCCTCCAGATTCATCCATGTTGTGAGATGTTTCGCGGTTTCATCATTGTTCTAAACCTCAGATTTCTAAAGAGAACCAGAAGCAAGACTCTCATTGGTTCAACAGTGTATTTCTTCCGGCAGTTTGTACTTGTTTTGATTTGTATAAATAGCTTTGTAAATGTCTGTTTACAGAGTCCTGGAATTGAGGAGGATGTTTTTTCTTTCAGCATTGCTTTCAAACCCTTACTGGAAAATATGTGAATCTATATTCCTCCGAGGAGCCCTGGCAGTGTGTATGTGAAATTATTACAACCGTCTACTTTGAGGCATGTGAGATAGGAGGGCCTAACTTGCAGGAAAACGTCAAGACCGAAACCAAAACTGTTGCTATGGAGTTGAGTCTCACTCATGATGACCCCATGTGTTGAAGTAGAACTGAGCTCCACGGGGTTTACTTGGCTGTAAGGAGCCCTGTCGGACAACGGTTAAGCGCTGAGCTGCTAACCAAAAGGTTGGTGGTTTGAACCCACCCAGTGGCTCCTCAGGAGAAAGACCTGGTGATTTGCTCCCATGAAGATTACAGCCCAGAAAACCCTATGGGGCAGTTGTACTCTGTCACTTGGGCTCACTCAGAGTTAAAATCAGCTGGAGGGCACCTGACAGCAACAACATATTCCTCCCTTATTTTCTTCTTCCCGCTGTTTCGCTTCCGGGGACTGCTCTTGGTGGTTTTCTAGGCTACTGAAAAAGCAAGTCTGTATGTGAGAAAGTTTTCAGGAAGGACAGAGGTTTTTTTTTCAGCAAAATAAAATAGTATTGGTGGGATACGTTCAGACTACAAGCTGGCACGTGGAGACTTTCTCTTAAATTTGTTGAGTTTTAGGTGATTTACATTTGGTGACTGTGGTTCTGCTCTTCCTTCAAAAAGCTTGATTTTACAGTTTGTCGTTAGCTGCTATCGAGTCAGCCCCCAACTCAGGGTGACCCCATGCACAACAGAACGAATTGCTGCCCGGTCCTGCACCATCCCCATGATCAGTTGCGGATCGGGCCATTATGATCCGTAGGGTTCCCACTGGCTGATTTTCAGAAGTCGATCGCTAGGCCTTTCTTCCTGGTTCATCTTGGTCTCAAGCTCCGTTGAAG